GACAGCTACAGTAAACACTCAATGGCCGGGATTGAATCTAGACCGATTCAATGGTCACGATTGTATTTCGGATTTGAATTTTAATTTTTTTTTGACAAATCCAACTCACTTAAAAATTTGAGTGTCTACTCTTGAAAATAGACAAACGTAATAAAAATATTAAAAAATAATTTTACTAAATCAATTGACCAAAATGCTCATGAAATTTATAGGGGTATTATGATTATTATTTTTTTTACAAATATTTTTTAAAATTTTTTATTAGGTACATCTTGATGAGAACAGTGGACGCTCCAATTTCATGTGATTTAGATTTTGTAAAAAAATAATTTAAATTCATACACAAAATACAATTGCGACCATCAAATCAGATTCAATATAGGCCATTGGACTTACACAATTCCATCAACTACTAGTGGGCTAACATGACTTAAATATATAAGTTAAAAAATGTAATCTAATACAAAAGTGAAAGATGAGATACCTCATAATCATCATGACTAGCATCACCCCAATCAGTCTCGTGTCACCAAGGGAACTGGTTGAAGAACTAATATAGGGATATGAGATCTTGGGAACCAGACCAATATATTCATCCCATCACTTTGAAGTATGAGTTTGGCATGGTATACCCCTACTCCTAAATCGAAGTCCCCAACATTGGTCCGCCCCTAGTACCTGAACCCTGCTGCTGTTGGGGCTCAGCCTCATGTCCCCTTGTGTCAACACCTACAGTGGTTTGGGTCGTCTCAGAATCAACATCATTATCTCCAATATTTCTTATTGTATCTACCTCAACATCCATCGGCACGTCTAATCATGCATCCCTTACTAGCTCCTCTAATCATATTCGACCAAAGTACTAAAGATGAGTCTGAGGAAAATGACTCCAAGTAAAGCAAACCAGATAATCACACAAAAGGGAGCTCAAAACTCACTCTCAAACGTATCAGGATCAAGAGTTTCTCATCTTAAAACTGGGGACAGAGGAGTTCCAAGAGCCTTCGAGTACCTTGTTTCTTTTACATCCACCTTCGTTTATTATAAAGTGAAACACCTTTGATAAGGTGCTTGGGTGTTTGCAAGAACACGAAAGAAAGCTAAAATGCAGCAACCACCTACTGGAAATCAATAGAAATCACTTCACCATGATGTTCTTCAGGCTTGAATGTGCTTGGTGCAAGGTAAAACGAAATCGCTCATTCATTTTCTGTGAATAATGTGACTTTAAGGCTAAAGGAACACTCAGAAGCAATCAACGCAGAGTTAGATCTCTCTTCCTCTCCTTGTGCACATGTCTTTTGAATCTAAGACAAGTATTGCTTTTATAGCTCACTTGGTATATGTCGGAGTGGAAACAATTTCAAGATATTCAATTGTCCATATTTGATCCAGTTTGTTCTTTTGACTGGTATTACACCAAGGAAGGAAGACATGGTTTTTCAAAGCTATCCATTGCATCTATATTAACCTTCAAATTGAAATTTGAACTTTGTTGTGCTCACCCTAATCTAGAGGCTAATCTTCCTTAAACCTGAGATTTCGATCTCAGGTCACTATCATTTTGTTGTTCTAATGTCCCTATCCTTTTCTTCAATGATTAGAGACTGAACGGGTAATATTTTAGATGATTTTCTTTAATCTTGTTGAAGAAAACCAAAGATTGAATTCATTCGTGAAATGATAGAACAATGGACTTGAGAATTTTGGCTTCGATCTTGTTGACTTTCTAAATTTTCTGCCTCAATTGTTGATCTTTATGATTGAAATGCCTTTTAAGGAACTCGTTCATGTGTTCTTTTCATCCAAAACTATAAATTATCTCAGGATCTTGATATCCTGGTCCTTGAACGTGGTTCTACAATTCTCAAATTCCTTTTGAGTTGGTCTCATTACCCCAACCAAGCAATGTGATGAAAAAATGATTATAAAAAAACAATTCAATTGAAAAATGATAGAGAGAGAAAGATGGATATGGAAAAAAGAATTTTGTTGTAAAGTTTATGGATAGCTAGAGAGATGAATAATGGTTATGGGATTTTTCTCTATATTCTGTATTTTATAATGGGTGACCCTTTTATCAGCATTGGAGATTATCCCCTAACCACATATGGAAAAATTTGCATTTAGATTTCTGTCTGCCTAAATCAATAACTAAGCCTTCCCTTTTTTTATCATTTTCTCTCCCAAATAAAAACATTTGGTTCAATGTGACTGTTAGAATATCTTTGATGGGTGGTCAAGAGAAAAAAAAAACATAAAATGAAATTAACTATAAAAAATAGCCAAAAAATTTGAATGCAATAGATTATTATAGCAAGTATTTAATACAATTAAATTGAATTAAATGCATTTAAAAATAGAAGATAAGAGAGAGACCATGAATACTATGGTGGTCATAAAGCCTTAGTGGCTGTACTCCAACATGCACCGGGATGATTAAGACGGTAACTGAGCACTTCCTATGGCCCATTTCCATCAAGATTGTAATCAGTTTCTGAGCATTTCCTGTGGGCCATTTCCTTACACACTGCAATCAGTTTATGAGGACTTCCATTGCCAAGAACCCGTAGAAACATTGTCGATCACCCGTCAGCCTCATTTTTTGTGCCATCTGACAATCTATCTAGCCAATATATAATGTTGGGCCACTGTTGACTTGCACTGCCTCAAGGACAGAATACGTTTTATGGCATCAAGCCATTGGTAGCATGGTTTTACTGATATAATGAAAAATAAAAGAACCATGTTCAGTTGATTAAACTTGGGGCATAAATAACAGGAGAAGTATTATGGATTACAATTATTTGAATTCCTCAAAATATTAGGGCTTATTTGTGATGTTAATATTATCTATATTATACAGTCTTATCTAAAATTAATATACATAAGAAAAATCAAGGTAGATGTTCGGTATTTGTATAATATTATTTAATTTTTTTAGTGATTTCTGGCTATTTTTATTATTTCTAGTTAAAAGAAAATAACTTATGATAAATTACTTTGAATCAAGTAAAAATAACATCTCAAAAAGATACTCTTATATTTTAGACTGCCTACAAGTTTGTCTTGAATAATTTTATAATAGACACCAAACAATAGATAATCCATTGCATGATTAAATTTATTAAAACAATGAATTAGTGATAACGAGTACATCCAAATAAGCCTTGGAATATTCACAGGGGGAATCGAACGCATGGCATCGAACCGTGGCCCAAAATCAGGTGTTTCCAAGAAGGAAGTAATCTTGTCCAATTGGATACCATGTTGTACACACGTGTATAAATTATATATGTTGCATAGGCCATTGAAATTTCCGTTAGGACTAGGAACGGACCGTACTACCCCTTGCCCTAGTCCCCTTAGGGCTGGGCCAGGCTTGTTTGGCCTTGACAGGGCTAAAGAGCGGCCATGGCCTAGGGAGGGGCTAGGCCAAATAAATTCAATAAAAAATAAAATAAAGAAAAAAATGTCGGACCGTGTGAATGAAGCCGGCCCTGTCATGGCCTCTACCTTAGGCCCGCCTGGCTTTACCCTTAGGCCTTGATGGTCCGGCCCTCGGGCCAAATATTGTGGCTCAGACCCTAGTTTTTTAACGCCAGGCTACCAGGCTCGTTGCCATCCCTATTTCTCGGACCATAATAAAGAATCAAAGGCAAGCGATGCTCTACTTCAAAGTCCACAATCGTTTAATAGTGAGCAACAACCCATCTCCACCGTTATTACAAAAAATGGTCCAGCGATAGTCTTTGCATGCCATTATTCTATGGATAGTCCATTGTCCTTTTGTCAATTTATGACATGGTGTAGTCCACATGTTCTTGGAAGTAACATATAGTCACAAGTTCATCACCATCCAATCGATAGGTTGGAGGTAAGAGAGAAGCATCTACAATTTTTAATGTGTTCGATTTAATTCCATTGATTGACGGTAATAGCACTGTGACTATGCTGTTATCATCAAGATATATATGGTTGATGCTACAGTTTCCTTTTATATCAGGTAAGGTATTGGTTTTTTGCCAAAAGATATTCTATTTTCTTGGTGTATATTGGCCATTTACTCCCAAAGGTAAAACCCCACCAAAAGATATTCTATTTTCTTGGTGTATATTGCCCATTTACCCCCAAAGGTAAAACCCCACCTAGGATTTGATCCCAAAATTTGGAGATATATCCTATTTACCACATAGATTAGCCTCAATAAAAAATTATTTTCTAATTGCACCCTCTAAGTGGTTAAAAATAATAATAATTTAAGATCTAATGGAAACCGTGCAATTTGTAGAAGATAAGATCTAAGTGTTAGAAAATTCAAATTTCAAATTTTATTTTTGAAAATAATCATGTAGTGATTACAAGATGGTTACTAAAATTTTATTTTAAAAAAATCTTCCCAAGTAGACAATCTCTCTAAGGGAGTAGAAATAAACTAAACTCCTGAAGGAAGTTCATCTTCTAGACCATCCATTTTCAAAATTTTCAATTGTTTATAGATCTGTTTGATCATCATCGTTTCTAAAACTTTAAATTTCAGCGATTGGGGGAACAATAAATTTTTATACCATTTGAGTTACTTTCCGCCGGTACACTTACATCAATAGTATAAGGTTGTACAATATTACATAAGGTATCAATATGTACAAATAAAGTGCACCTAAAAAGTTCACTAGAGAAGGTTGTTTTTATGCTGGAAAACCCTCAAATCATTCGTCTCTACTTTGAGATTTATATACATAAAAAAAGGGATTTCTAACCCTAAAAATAGTTCATCTTCTAGCATATTATCTGGACCATCCATTTTCAAAAAATTTAACTGTTTATAGATCTACTTTATAATTTTTAACTTTATAGATGTACTTTATAATTTTTAACTTTAAATTTCATTGTCGGCAGAAACACTAGATTTTTATGCCATTGAGGCACCCAAATTGAATTTTCGACATAGTTTTGTGGTGCACCTTACATCAACAGTATAAGGTTGATACCTTATACAAACCTCACAGATTCTTTGCGCGCGCCGGAGAGAGAGCAAAAGAGCTCGTTAGTCGTTAATACTCGTTACATTTTGTTCTACGGTATTCAGTAAGTAAGAGAAAGAGAGGGGCTTTTACAGTGCATACGAGCGTCGTGGTCTCCGTCCCCTGTTCTATGCCTTGAAGTTTCAGGGGTGTTTTTCTTCCCCTTTTTGGCAGCAAAACTCTCTCTGTCTCTACCATGGTTTCTCTCCGTTTTCCCTTCTTTCACTCTCACCTCCTAATACCCTACCCTATCGTAATTCCTCTTCTCCACTGCACCATGGCCGAGTAGCAATGGCCATGGGAGTAGGACTAGGCGTGGGCTTGGCCATGGCTTCTTCATTCTCGGACCAGAGAGGTTCATTGCTTCAAAAAGCCATGGATTGGTTCTCTGCGAGCCAGAACTCGATACCCCATTTGTGGGCCTCGCTCTCTTTGGCCTCTGAGAAAACCATTACTGAATCCAGGACTGGCACTTCCTTTCTGGCGGTTTTGTACGAGACTCAACAGCTTGTGGGGATTGGGATAAGGAAGAAAAGCATCATAGGTATCAAGAACATCAATGTATATGCATTTGGTGAGTTTTAGATTCGTCCATGTTCATATTTTCGTTTGTTTTCTCTTTTTAGACCTGCATTCTCTTTAGATTCCCGCTGAATTGCTTGCTGGCTGAGGAATTCTGGATTCGATTTCTAGAATTCTTTAATGTTCTGGATCTTTGTTTTATTTTGCTTGTTGTTTTTTGGATTTAAACTTGAATGAGCATTGGGTTAATTCCTTCATTGGTGTGTGAATTGAATTATATCTGAATTGATGAGGTTTTGTTGCAATTGTATCAGAATCATTAAAGAGCTTTGTTTTTGTTTTTGCTACCTAAATTTAGCAAGTGAATTATTACATAAAGTTTATCATGGTACTTTCTTCATTATTATTTTTTAAAGAAAAGATTCAAATTGTCAAATCAGTCTGTAACATTCAATACTGCGACTTAAGTTACAATCATAAGAGATCCAAACCCATGTAAGGGTTTGGCCCTTCCTTCGACAATTTATTGTGTTGCCAAATTGAGTTCAATTTTTATATTTATGTTTATGAAATTGCAATCTCATTTTTGTTTCGTACAAAATGTTACCGCATCCTAACTTGCCTTTCTAGAAAATTAGAAGCTATTGCAGCGAAAAGCTCCTGAGTAGTGAGCTGTCTATGAGTAATTATACCTTTCTCAGCTTTTTGGCCAACATCATTTGTAGAGTGTTTTCTTATAAGTGAACTGTGAGTATGTAACCCCAATTTAGGGGTAGAAAATGTCTTTCCATATTTGAAAATCTATTGTAAAGTTCTTAATTAGGGAAATGCAATTCATCGTATTTTGTTTTTTTAATAAGTTGACTTATTTCAACATATTTGTCCATTATCATAAATGCACTGATTGTCTCAAGCCAAATGATAAAATCTGATAATGGAAGTATAATTCCCAAGTATCAAAAACATCTGACTGTTGAGTCTGTTTGATGCATGGGTTTTAACTAGTTACTTTTGGATTCATGAACTAATGATATAGTTTTTCCTGCAACTGATTATTAAGTATGATAATGACAGATTGAATGACAATGATATGTCTTTTATATTGAGATTAATATTCTTTGCACTAATTTCGAAGGCTACAGTAGTCATTTCTTTTCATTTTAATTTGGAAAATTAGTACGTGCGTCAGGGGACACACTTCTACAATAGCATCCCCTGGCACATGTAACATCCATCTTAGGGATGGATGTAATAAATGGTTATCCTACAAAAATTAAATGGATGGTGTTAGAATGACATAAAAAAGTTTTCATTTTTATTTTCGAAATTTATTTATTTGTCAGATTCTTATTCATTGTAGTTGAGATTTTCATTTCTTAAAATTTTTAACCAAATTCCATCTCTAAAATAGATTTTGGAAATAGGACTCATTTAAATAGGTGAGGTGGCCAACTCATAGCAACCTTGTCCTTTTAATTTTACTCATTTTTTCCTAGACACCTCACAGGCTCATATGACAAATTTTCATTACTTTCTTTGAGCTTTTGCATTCTTTGGATGATCAATTATCATTTTAGGGCATAGTTATGAATATCTATTAGCTATTATTGATCCATTTTCATTATTATATCAACGTTGCTGTGAGTTACAGATCCCATTCAAGAATTTATAAAGCTTTGCTGATACTTTTAGATGTAGTGAATCAGATTATCTTGCTTGATGTATCTGCTTCTAATAAACCTGATATATATTCTTGAAGTTATTTTATACTGCAGGTATTTATGCAGATGCTAGCGACATGAAAGAAGCGTTGTATGAAAAGTATAGACCTTTATCAGCTGATGAGCTTAAAGAAAATAAGGATTTCTATGGAGATATTATGGATAGTGATATATCTATGACAGTAAGGTTAGAGATAGTATATGGAAGGTTGAGCATTGCTTCTGTTCGAAGTGCCTTTGAAGAGACAGTTGGAAGTAGGCTCCAAAAGTTCAGTGGAGCTGATAATAAAGAGTTGTTACAGAGGTAACTTCTTTTTCTAGAACCTTTTTATATTTTTATTTAAGATAAATACACATATAAGTTCATTGTAAGGATAATCTTTCTTTTTTTTATTCTGACAGTTTCATCTACAAGCAGAATTGTAATGATATATCTCAGACATTTTTTGAAAATCTCATGACCGAAATGTTAAATATTTTCCCATTCTTTTTTTTTTTTAATTATCTTTTGTCATTTTTCAATACTTTCATTTATTTTGTTTTATCATCTTGTTTAGTGACAGATTTAGTAGAACAATTAATCAATCTCTATGGGATTCATAGAGTCGTGTCACATTGTATACACTGGTATGATTGATTATCCTTTATAGTTTTCCTAGCCTTAGGTCAATGAAGAGAGTCATCATCTAATAATGTTTAAATGCAAGGAGCATTTTCTAGGACAAGTTTCCTTGTCATGATTCTGAAGTTGTGATTCAGTTATAGGATCCAACTTCTTGCTCTGCCTAGTGAGACTTGTCAAAATAATATAGAAGCCTATGGTGGAGGGCAATCAATGGGGCAGCAATACCAATCAACATCTATATGCCCAACAAGGAAAACATGGATGGGGCTAGAAAGTCAGGTCGCATGGATGGTTTTCCTTGTAGACTCACTTCATGGGCTATATATGAACAACAACAAAATAACTAAGGCATTGTTTGGTTGTCAAATTTCATCAAATAAATTCTTTTTCTCCAATTGTATTTGACCAAATTGCAATTTGGACAATTGCCATTTGTTGTCTTGGGGTGTTTGTTTGAATTGCAATTTCATATTGTGTGGTGCGATAATAGTGATGCTGCTGCTGATGTTGGAGTAGAGGAAGGGTGGCTAGGCTGCGAGGGAGGGAGGTGGTGGAGTAGAGGAAAGGTGGATAGGCTGCTAGGGACAGAGGGAGATGGTGGAGTAGAGGAAAGGTGGCTAGGCAGGGAGGGAGAGAGGGAGGGAGGAAGGTAGCGAGGGAGAGAGGCAGTGAGGTGGTGGAGTAGCGGAAAGGTGGCTAGACAGAGGAAAGTGGCCAGGGAGGGAGTGAGGGAGAAAAACATCTTCAAGTGATTTTTCCATGTATTGTAATTGGAAATTAATTGTTATTGGTAAATGAAATATGCCTCGGTCAATTTGCAACAGGCCAAATCGCAATTTGGTTTAAATTGCAATGACCTGGTAGTCAAACAGGGCATGTGAGTTGCCAGTAGCTATAGGTACATAACATGGTCGTGTAAATTATTTCCTAAGAGAGAAAAATTTCTAACATCATTTCGACATGTGTTAACTTCCTATTATATAGAGCTACTAAAGTAACGAGATTCGTAATGTTCTTCATACTAGTGAACAGGTCCACTTGAATGTCATAAGAATATGCCTCTGGAAACATTCATCTTGAACTTCTCATGATGCTGAACCATTTAGTTCCCAATCCGCCTCAAAATTATCTCTAAAACTCTTCACCTTGTCAATATAGATGGCATTTTCGGTTTCAAAATTTAATTGTTGTGCTAACCTCTTAATGGGAATCACGGGCACTGTGAGTTCTCTCATGACGATGTGTGGCACCATCCTCGACCCTCTGTCTATTCTTTCCATTCACCACGTGCATCATTCTTTCATTCACTACAACCATCTCCTTTTTGGGTCATTCATTCATGACAGATGTTATTCTGACTCTTTGGCCCATAGTGATCACCCCTTTGGGCTTCTCATCATCCTTCTGGATTTAAGCTCTCACCCTTATGGGCCTCATCCCATCCTTCAAGCTTTATGGGTGCCCCCTTTGCGCCCTGCCATGTCTTTGCAACTCATGTTCGCTTGTAAAGGCATAAGCCAACCTTGAACGCAAGATCAACCTGACTTTACAAAGTTTTTTGTGTTTTTATTTTTTTTTGAGAATGTACAAAGCTTTTCTTTTTGTTTCCATCTACAAAGCTTTGTTTTTAAGCTCCCCTTACTTGCCAGCAACCATCTCCATTTTATCCTTGCATCAACTATCAGCTTCTTCTGGTAGGTTTCTTTCTCAGAATTCTTTCAATTAGAATCATGGGCTATTTTCCCTCAGAGAGTGCAATTAATGGCTGAATCTTTGCAACAGGCTTGAAGCAGGAAACATGTTTGAGCAAAATATTATTTTCCTTCGGGCTACCAGATACACATGCTCATTATATCTTATACCCCTTTACAGATAGGCATATATTTTTATGTATGTGATTGCATAGAAACCTCTATTGCCTAGTCAAGTGCTTGTATTTCGAAGAGAGGCACTCCTCTTGCTTTGATCTTGCCCAATGCCTTTGGTTACATAAGCTTTGGACTTAGACGTGTTTGAACTTCGGCACATTTTCTTTCATTTTTTTTAGGCTTGGCATGCTGGGTTTTTGTGTTTTGTTTGGTGGACCTCAAAGATGGGGGCCATGCGAGGCTGCACCATCACACTCCCTCCACATTATCTCTTTTTTGTTGTTGCATTTTGAGATTTTTTCGCTGACCAGTTAAAGTACACATAACCTCCTAATCCTTATTCTTCATAAGTACATATGTCTACTGTTTTCTTTAGCTTGACTGCTTTCCATTGATAACACAAATGTATTTCCGTATCCTTCTAAACATGTTATACAGGAATGTGAGAGGGTTGATAAGAGGGACTTTTCTTCTACCCTTACCGACTTCACTAGCTAATTCCACCCATATTTTATTTTTCCGCTCAGTAAAAGCGAGGTAACGTCAGCTTTTTGTGGGATATATATATATATATATATATATAAAGAGGAAATTGGCTGTTTTGAAGGACACGACCTCATTTCATATTTGAATTTTACTTTTTTTCTACGAGTCTAAATCACATGAAATTTTGGGCGTATGTTCTTTAAACATAGGAGAATCCAATAAAAGTATCAAAACAATATTTCGTGAAAAATAAATTGATCAAAATACCTTTGAAACATTTCAGGGGTATTTTGGTCAATTTTTATTTTATGAATTATTTTGTTAATGTTTTTATTATGTGAGCCTTAATGAAAAGAATAGTGGTCTAAAATTTCACATGATTTGGATTTGTAGAAAAAAAATAAAATTCAAATAAAGTTGTATAACATACTTTTAAAGTTTAAATATATTGCTACCTCAGTTTTCTTTTAGATATGTTTGAATGGTTTAGCGGTTAGCGTTATCAAATAAATTTTTACACCGTCGGGGTTTCGAATCCCACAAGTGTTGTCCGTCACTTATTTTTTATAAACATCGATTTTTTCAATGATTTTGCCTCGGGGAGGATGGAATGTGAATCCTCTTGAAATGAGGTCCTTTTATGTAAGGTGCACTAACCAGCATGCCAACCACAAGTTGTTGATAATAATAACGCTCATATTATTTTTAACTATTATTTTTTTTATTTTCTATAAAAAAAATGAGCTGGACTCAGGTGAGTAACTCGGACTTGCCCGAGTAAATCGCCTCAGCCAGGTCTCGAGTACCTTGGCCGAGTCATTTTTTGAACACTTGTTTCTGAACAGCCTTTAGGATATTTTCATTTGGGCTTATTATTTGTTTTAGTCAGTCAAATGTAATGATTCTAAATCGTAATATATTTACAAAGTTTGCCCCACTGCGGTCATCGATTCAGTGTTGCTGCTCTAAAAGTGTGTTTCATTCGCCTAAGTTTTATCTCCTGCCTTTATCTCTCTCTCCCCATTGTTTCTTCTCTTTCATCTTTTTTGAATCTATCCCAATCTCTCGAACTCTCATTTTTGAAGCATTGTTTTACCTTTTCTAGCTCCAGACGCTCTCACATAGTCTTTCTTTCCCTTCATTGTTAACGAAAGGATGAAAGGAAAACAATCACCTCTTCTATTTAATTTTATTTGAAAAAGGAAAAATGAAATTTTTTTTGCATTGATATTCCTCTATCAAAATTTTTGCTCACTCGTTCCCTAATTTGGAAAGGAAAACTTTTCATTCACCCTTCCCCTCTTGAGTTTTGAAACTCTCTCTTTCTCTCTCTCGACACACACACACACACACACGCACACACACACACACACACTTATGGTAATTAACTTTCATAGTACACACATGCACTTATGGTAATTAACTCTCATAGACATCTCGCTTATGAAACAATGAATGCCCAATGTTGCAGCATCAATCTATGCCGTGAGGCACACACACCCTAAAAATTTCAGGTCAATTGGTTTTGTACAATCAAAGTTAAAATTCAAACACTAACATGTGACTGTTCCCATCGATCTGCCCAAGTTGAATCTAGGTCATTGGTCATACATTGTTCTGTATGCATGCTAGCATATGGAAGTTACTTCCACACACACACACACACAATTAGGAAAAAGATCATATGAGCCCATGCACCTATAGAACTGTGTAGGCCCAATACCCCAAATTGAAGCTTACATAAATGAAGAGCATATGTTTCGTTTTATTTTTTTATTTTGTCTAAAAAGTGGAGTCTGATGGACCCCAAATTTTTTACACATAGACGCCTCATCTAGGAACTCCAAATAAAATACAAAATGAATGTACACCAAAAATGTGGGCCACAATTTGTCTGGCATTTTCGATGAATATAAGCCATCTAGATTGCCTCCTGTCGACATATGAATGAACTAGCAATGGATCAAACTTATGAGCTACACTATAAAACTATAGGAGAGAGTGATTGAGCAATGACTAAGGCATGAAAAGTTAGAATGGAATATTGGACGGTCAAGAAACAATATATCTATAGAATGAGTGTAGTTGAGATGGATGAGTAGCAAGATAAAGAAGGATAGAATTAAGAATGAATACATTCAAAAGAACATAGGAGTAACTCCAATAGGCGATAAAATGAGGGAAAGTACACTTAGGTGGTATGGTCATGTACAACATCGACCTAGAACGACATTAGTTAGGAGGAGTGATTTGGTTCAAGTAGATGGCTCTAAAAGAGCAAAGGGAAGGCCTCCAAGGACATAGATAGAAGTAGTGAGAAAGGATATGATGACTTATGGTTTGACTAAGGGTATAGCCCTTGATAAAATGGAATGGCAAAATAGGATTCGTATAGCCAACCCAAAATAGTTGGGATGAGACTCAGATGATTATATATATATATATATATATCTTATAGAAGAGAAGATAGAAGCTAGTCTTTGCATTCTTTCTTAGAGTTTTAGAACTGCAGAAAGGTCTAATGTTGTCGCTATTTACTTATTACATATTTAACTAATCGTCTCTCTTATAGAATCGAAGCCTTTCAACACCGTATTTTTGCTAACTCGCATTACTCTTATGCCATTTATTTTTTGACCAATATAAGATTTTTGTGACTTTGAGAGGACCTCCTGTTCCCTTATTTTAGTTGCTTTATCTTATTCTTGCTTTAACATTTATCTGTCTTCTTGCCATATTCTTCATATCCTAATATCTTTCTTTATTACTAATATTAAATTCTAAAACATTCATTACTACTCTGCCTAGATGGTCATAAGAAATATTTTATTCCATTTTAGCTTTGTCACTTCATTTTGGATATTCTCTAATGATCATCATAATTTCTCTTTGCCTCTTATTTCTCTTTCCTTCCTTTTCCTTGCTTTGGATGCAAGGTTCCACAAAATGACCAGTCTAGCACCTAGGCGGCTGCCTAGGAATGCAAGAGGCCATAGACCGCCTCACCTAGGCCTGGGCAGGCCTTCTTGGAAGGAAGTTCCTGGGCGCCCACTCAAGCAGGCTGGGCGGGTGTCTAGGCAAGCGCCCTGTCCTTGGTGAGCGCCGAGGAATCACCATAAAAAAGTAGAAAAAAACTCTTTGTGGGGACATTTTGGGTCATTTTGACTTGTGAAAAGGGGGAGGGGGGTACTTTAGCCCCTCAAAGTAAAAATACTCTTCCTATGCCCTAGAAACATCCAAAATCGAATAATTTTATGATCTGTATTTTTTTTCCAATCGAGAAAATTTTGAAAAGTGTTTAGAACCATCCGAAGCCTTGCCATATATTATTTGAAATTTAATCATTGATACGAAGAATTGAAGATCTCCTCTTTCTTTTTTTTTGTATTGCGTCATTTTGTATTAGTCATTTGGTCTTATTGGAGACTTGGAGTCTATGAGTATATTGTGTGAAGTATGGAATAGGTTGTATGGACACTGAATCACTAATAAACTATGAACTCGTTTTTGTTTTTAACTATTTCAATTATTTAAAGAATCAAAATCTTCAATGATTTGAATGCGTTTCAACATTCATGCGCATATATTTGTATAGAAGTGTTAGTTGGGATACATATAGATGCATAAATATACAGATTTGGCACACATGTGTGAAGTACATGTAGACATATATGTGTATATCTGACACCTCATGGCACCTGAGGTTCTAGGCAGCCCTTGTCACCCACTTCCCGCTCCCCTCCCCGACAGGAGGGGTGCCTATGGGCCACCCATCGTTCTTTGTATCCTTGCTTAGATGTGATACAAATTCCCGCTGTCGTAATTCATTCGAGATTTTTTTTGCACCCTCTTGAATAAAAACCAATGAGATATCTTTTTATTTTATTGAATATTAAGGTGGGGACCTAGTAGGAATGAAACTTTAGATATCACGTACATTTGAAAACCATAATCCAAGAGGTTCATTACCATCCAGCAAAATGGACGGTGATGAGAAATAGTGAACCCATGAGTTCATGTCCTATTATGGTCTCTATGTGTGTGTGTGTGTGTGACTGTCCATTATTTCATTCCTTGGTGAATCAGTACTAATGACCATAACGCGGTTCATTGGATTGTAGTCAAATTTCCCTACATTACAAGGTTGAAATTAAAACTAACAAGAAAGCATATTGGCGCATGTTCCTAGATGCGAAGGGTTTCAATTCAGGACTAAAATCACAACTTGTTGCCCATGGGGCCCATTGGGCAACATGATAGTAAATTAATTTTTTGTGGGGGAGTTTGCCACCACACTAGCTTGCTCGTGAGCCCTGCGTTGCACTACCGCACAGGCCTGGCGCACCCCAAAAAAGAAAAAACTTGTTGCATATCGTTACAAGAGTAGGGCTGGACTTGTGAGACCTTTGTCCAGTTGAAAAGATGACCATCATGTTCCCTCCCATTGTAGCTGCTTAGGGATGTTATTAGACACTGTGCATTTACTGATCTTCATAAATATATTGTTCTCTCCTTGTTAATAAATTGGAAGGGGTTTTCTTGTTGTGCTATTCCTACATTTAAGGTCATGAATATCATTTTTTTTTGTTGGTTATATATTATGTTTAGCTGTTTTTGAGAACATCGGTTCCTTTCTTACATCTTGCAAAAAGGGTTGATCTGTCTTTAAATATCATGTGTTCATGAATACAAGATATTTTTCCCTAATCATGAGCAGATGATAAGTTTCCAAGTAGTAAAAACCTTGGAGTCTTTATATTGCATAGAATGACTTTACAACTTTATTTTCCCTTTGCAGATTCACAACACAGTTTAAAGATGAATATAAGCTACCACGAGGAACCATAATCGATCTTTCACGGCAGCATGGCCACATCCTTCAAACCAAAAGTATGCCTCCTTTTCGTTGATGCTATTTAACTCCACCACAAAACGCCCTTTGTATACAAGCATTGTTTCTGAGATCACAGTTCTGGGTTCCGGGGCCTCAATTTCCTGTTGTAAAAGCATCTTGTAGTTCAATGAGATATCAGAAGACCACAATCCATCAGTCATAACCATCCACTGAACATTGGATATTGATGAAGAAAGATGGGCCCCACACTAATAGGAGTTATTTCCTGTTTAGATGGGTGCTACTTCCCCTCCATCACTGTGCATTTCATTTGATGGTCCATTGTACTAATTTACTTTTCCTTTCCTGAATGTTGCCTCTTTTTGTTGATTGATCTCTAGTCATTCTATATAAGCTAGCATTTAGCATCACTATAGATATTGGACTAAACAACCTGGTGTCTTGGCCGATACAGTCTAAATAATAAACCTGGTTTGGTTGAAAAATCAATGTTTGACTGATTTTGGCATGTCGGATTGTTTAGTTTTTAACCGATTCGACATACTAAATAAATTTAAAATTTTTTTCTAATATATTTTATATTTTTAAGCTATTATTTTGTTTTTGTAAATTTAGTGGTCAAAACTGATTTTGATTGAGGCAGACCCCTCAGTGTGTTCAGTGTCTAGTTTGTTCCTGTTGAAAAAAATGAAAAAATAGCTTGATATGAGAATTATTCATTAAAGAACTATTCCTACCATATCTCTCATTTTACTTTACTATCTGGCTGTAGTTAATGGTGAGGTGGTGGGCAGCGTTCAGAGCCAACTCCTCTGCAAATCAATATTCGACCTTTACATTGGAGAAGACCCATTTGACAGAGATGCTAAACAGGAGATTGGACATGGTTTGGCATCTCTACTTAAAAACTAGATTCAAACGCATGGCATCAGTCGCACTTTGTCTTGTTCTGTGGTGATTCAATTATTTTGTAAAATTTCATTTTATTGAAATAGGTAAACTCCATTAAAACCACGATTTTGCTGGGGGCTTTCTAGCCTGTGAAACAATGAACACTGGTATATTGTCCCTCAGCTGTTTTAGATGTCCTCTTTTTTTAGTATAGTTCATGTAATTTTTTCATCCAACTATTTACCATTTGTATATGATTGTGCCTTGCCTGTATGTGTCGTACTATTCCTTGGTCTGAGGGATAGTGCTTTATAGCCAAATGTGATTTGCTATTCACAAATAAGAAATTTGTTTAATGGGATTTTGGTCATTCTTCTAAAAATGTTCTAGACTTCTAGTGTTCTTTTTCTTGAGTGAGAAATTATGGTATTCCCATTAGAGAAAATATATATAAATATATCACCCCTTACAATGTGGCCCTTAATAGAGTAAAATGGCGGATTAAAATTCGTGTAGCCGACTCCAATTAAAAAGACTATGATGATGATGACTCCTCTTTACATTGTGTTGTTTATTGTTACCATGTTATTTTATGTCTCTTCCCAATAGCTTAAATTGAACCCAGTAGCTTAAATTGAACCACTAAGCTAATTTGAACAGCTGGTGTTCATGGGCAATGTCACTGTGGTCTATATCTTTCGCAGCTATGTCCTAGGACTTTCTTACTACAATTATCTGTCTTTTAATGAAAATTTCGAGTCTATTGTTATAAAAATGATAAAATACTCCTTATAAATGACAAAGTACTACACCTTTTAGCAATCATTACATATTATCTGAATCAATGATCAAATTATACATAAAAAAATAGTTTTCTAAAAAGAAAATCTCCTACTTGGTAAATCCATCATTTACGATCTATTTGACCTTTACCTTTGTATTTTGAAAGGTTCTATATATATGCCAAAAGATATTCCATTTTCGCCGGAGCGAGAGAATGTCCATTATCTAAACATAAAAAATGAAGAAAAGAACCCACTTTTGGATGCTTCATTTCGATCACAATCGGATATTTCAGAGAGTTTTTCGAAAAGAGGCGAATTCCAAAAGAACGGAACGGGCCGTTTTAGGGAAAAACTTAAGAGAGAGAGGGTTTGTGCAAGGGAAATGAGTTTCAACGGGAAAAGGAAGGGAACGGGGCCTTTTGAAAGAGGGGTGCAGTTGGCATCCGTACCTGTAGAGGTAGGGTGCATCTTTAAATTTTATCATAAGATAAAATTTACATGTAAAATGTTTTTAGGATCATCTTAAAATCTATTTTTATATCTAATTATAAAATTTTAAATTTAATAAATGGTCAAAATCAAGTTGATCTATAAACATATGAAAATCTTGAAAATGGACGGTGCAGATAATATGTTATAAAATGCAATATTTTTTAGAATTAAAATCTTTTTATTTTTCATGGTCATATATCTTCATGTCGAGATGATCGATCGAAGGGTTTTTCAACATTAAAACTACCTTTTTCGATGGATTTTTGAGGTGTATCTGTAGTTTTACATTATAAGGTTGCATCTTTATGTAAATTTTTTCCTTTAAAGAGAGGGTTTTTTTTAGAAGAAGCGAGTATCAAACGAAGGGAATGATGCCGTTTTAGGGAGAGAGATAGAGAAGGGACTTGTTTGACCATACCATTTTAGAGACAGATATAGAGAGAGGCCCGGGTGGGGGGGGGGGAGGGGGCTGGGGCTGAAATTACGAGCACCACCCCTCCCCCCACGGCGTATATTTTTTCAGACATGGGGTTTATATCTTTCAAAGTAAAAAATGTTGTTCGGTGTTCGAAACAACGGACAGCTTCCTATCCATGAATTGTTTGGTGTTTCAGTTACCAGATAACTCTCTGGGTTTGAACGCCAACTGCTCACTGGCTAGAAAATGGCTGAGGACTCTCCGGGAAACGAAAATATGCCCAAAGCTAATGGCAGCTTCAAACTAGAGTCACCTGACTTTTCGAGAGACTAAAGGGGTGGTGCTCGTAATTTCGTTTAGGCGTGAGCCCCTTTGTAATTGACCCCCAACAATATCCATACATAAATTTGTCTCGTTTTTATATGTACCTGAGTAGGACAGAGAATCTCATATGGGCCTCTCGATGCTGAGAGGCTGCCGAGTTACTGAACACTGTATTTTCCCGTGAATTTTGATCTTTAACTTCTTTCGAAAAATTGCGGTTATCAAATCAATAATATTTTACAAATTCATTAATTCATGAGGGGTACACTTGGTTTAGAACAAGGTTTTAGAAAACATTAATCTGGATCAGAATTGGCAAATCTAAATCGGAAATAGTGGGGGGTGAAGCGATTCCAGCTAAATATCGGGAACCGCCTGGTTCATCCCATGAGACGGCCAATTCTGTCCAGTTTTCTAATAGAACCTATGTTTGAGAACCATGAACCGTACTCAATTTTGACTTTTTTTTAAATTTTATTATTTACCTGTTCAATTGATTTGATCACTGATTCGCGAAACTGGATTGTAAATCCGGTTATGCAATCTGGTCACGAAAGTTTTCTAAAACGTTGGCTTATAGAAGATTAAAGGCTGGTTTTAGTCGTTTCCATTTCAAGCCGGGGTAATATATGATTATTCTCCTTGATTCTATTCCTTTTAACTATTTGTCATTTTTATAACTGTATCACTTCATTGAAAAACAATATCTAGTTAGGGTTTTTCAAGAAAAAAGGCTTATTGGATTTTATTTTTAAGACATTGGACTCATTGATAATTTACTGCTGACTTTGGCTCCCCTACTTTTGTGGAGGGCCAAATGGACCGCTTTGCCCTTTTTAAAAAACAAATTCTTATGGTCTCATTTTTTCTCACCATTTACATTTTTTTTTCTCATGGTTTCTTCCTTAGCTTTTTGTCTCTCTAAAAATCCAAAATTTTAAGCTCTTCCCTCCGTTTTGATAATTCTTGGCTTGGATAAGTGAGAATAAAGTTAGATAAAAAATAATAAAATAAAATCTTTGCCTTAAAAGATTATTTATTATTTTTATAGAAATTGTCTACAAAGAGACCATTTATCTTTTATATATGGAGGTCATCATTCTTTGTCTTAGTTATGAACAACTTAACTAGGCACCTACAGGATGAAGTATTATGGTGCATGTTGTTCGCAAATGACATAGTTTTGATCGATGAGACCTAAAATGGAGTCAACACAAAGTTAGAACTTTAGAGAGATGCGTTAGAATCCAAAGTTTTTAAAATTACACGGACTAAGACAGGGTATATGAAATGCAAGTTTAGTAATCATAGGAGTAGAGACGATGAAGTAGTTAAAATTGATAGCCAGGAAGTACAAAAAAAACCACACTCTCGATATCTTGAGTCGATAATACAAGAAAATAAAGAGATTAAAGAAGATGTCGCAAACATAATTAGTACTAGGTGAACGAAGTGGAGATGTGTAACTAGAATTTTATGTAATCGACGCATACCAATGAAGCTGAAGGGTAAGTTCTATAGAATAGTTGTAAGACCAAATTTGCTCTATGAGGCGGAATGTTCGGCAGGTTAAAAAACAATATACCTATAAAATGAGTGTCGCGGAGATGAGGATGTTGAGATGGATGAGTAACAAGACAAGAAGGAATAAAATTCAAAATGAATTCATTCGGGATAATTTAAATGTGGCATCAATAGACGATAAGATGAGGGAGAGTAGACTTAGGTGAGCTAGCAATGTATGACGCCGACCAACTACAACACCTGATAGGAGATGCAAGTTTAATTCAAGTGGAAGGACTGAAAAGGACAAGGGGTAGGCCCAAAAGGACGTGGTTGGAAGTAGTCCGAAAAGATATAGAGACCTATAACTTCACTGAGGGTATGACCTTTAATAGCGCAAAATGACAGACTAGGATCCGTGTAGTCGACCTCAATTAATTGAAGAAAGGTTATAATGATGATGATGATGATGGTATGGAGGTCACAACTGTTCTTATTACTTAAATTTCAAAATGGGTGGTTGTAAGAGTGTCATTGAATAGATATAAAGTTCCAAAAAACAAAAAAATTTGGGCTTAGTAATTGACCATAAGCCATCCAATTTGACATCTGAAATAAATTTCAAAATAAGTAGTTGTAAGAATGTTATTGAATAGATATAAAATTCTAAAAAATGTTTTTTTGGACTTTGCTACTCACCTCAAATCATCCAATCTGACATCTAATAAATGAGAATGGTTGTGGCCTCCATGAATAAAAGATAAGAGCAATTTTCTTATAGGATCATCCCACACCTACAAGCATAAGACCCCAATGGATTACCATTGAATTTCTATCCAAATCTCAAGGGAAAATTTCAAATCCTCCCCCTCTTTCTTTAAAAAATTACTTTTTTTTAAATAACTCCCTCTCGCCTCATTTGCACTCTATCTCCCACTTTCCCTCTCTCTCAGCACTTTTGTTTATTCTCTCTCCCTGTTAACTATCTCTTGCCTTTCACTCTCTACATTCCCTCTGGCCCTCTTCTTCCCGTAGGGTCATTGTACCCTTTTCCTTCTCTCTTCCTCCGGCTCTCTCCCCCTCCATTCTCTCTCTTTTTCTTCTTCTTCTAATTACCCATCTAGCCCTCCACAAAAATCCCCTTTCTTATCTTCTTCCCCAAAATCTGCCACATGGGCTCAGGATTTCATTGGCTAACATTTCAAAGCATATGTTGATTTCTTTCAAGAATGGGTTTTGAAGATGAAGTAAATGGCTCAGCATTTTTTCGGCTAACAAATCAAAGAGCAAAAAATAGCAAAATCAAAATCAAATATATTTATTCCTTTCATTTTTTAGTTTTTATTTGGAAAAAGGCAAGTTTTTGTTTGAGGCTTTGAGCTATGAAAATCTAATACCAAAGAATGGGCTGTGGATTTTTCTTTTTTTGAATTTTTAGGTTGTAGGTTTCATGAGCTCCTGGTTAAAAAAAAATCAATTTTGTTTTTTTAATCATCCCTACTGGAAATCAATGTATTTTGGGTAAAAAATAAACGATTTTCTTTATAAGGTATAAAACCCTAGTCATGATTTTTGCAATGTGTAACCAGTGGGTTGCAAGTTCTTTTTTTTTATTATTATTATTTTTATTTTAATTTTTTTTATATTTAAAAAGAAAAAATTCGACAAATCCTATATCAAGATATCTATGATTTTTTTCTTAGAAAAAGAAAAAGATATCTGTGATTTTGTCAAACGATTTTTTTTTGTTAAGCTCTGAAACATTGAACTTGATTTTTGTAACTAAACCTGATTTTTGTGGATTTTTATTTTTTTAGGTTGTAAACCATGAACCTGATTTTTCATCCT